TGCCACCAAAGTTTTCTAAGGTGTTTGTTTTTTACCTGTCTGAGATAAGGTCTTTCATTGCATCGGACCCAGTCATACACAACTGAGAGAATGGGGTCACTCAGCTGTGCCGCCCTGATGTCATTGCCTTGATCCGAAAGTGTGTGTTGCAACAGGTCCATACCTGAGTTGATCATTTGCACCCCAGTATCCTCCTGTTCCGTGACTCAACTCAACTCAACTCAACTCAACTTTATTTATAAAGCACTTTAACACAGCCGTGGCCAACAAAGTGCTTAACATAAGATACAATTCAAAACATCTAAAAACATGACAACTACAATATTAAAATACCAATAAAGTAACATAAAAGAACCAACATAGCAAAATAATAAAATACTATCAACCAAAACACAGCCCAAACAGTCTCATAGCATATCAAACAATACAAGTAGTATGTACACTTTGTCTGCCGAGCATCACGTGACGTAGTATGTCACAACTGAGCCGATGGTTCTTGCACTTCACTCGTATAGTCAATATCTGTACTGCGACAATGGCCCCTCACTCCAGCCATGATTCTTTTCAAAGGTAATGTGTAGGTTAATTTGTTTTATTTTTATATACTGTATATACTTTTATACTGTATTCTGTATTACTGTAATCATTTTTATATGGATAAGTGGTTGTGGAACGAATCATCTGAGCTTCCATTATTTCTTATGGGGAAATTCGCTTTGATATACGAGTCCTTTGGATTACAATCATGTTGGCGGAATGAATTATACTCTCAATCCAAGGTTCCACTGTGTATATGTGGTCTGTCTGTACCTGAGAGAGTATGGTTTGTGGTCGGTCTGTACTTGAGAGTCCAGTCTGCAGTCCGTCTGTACCTGAGACAGTGTGGATCCTCTAGTTGCATCAACAGCAGCTTCACTCCTGAGGCTCCTGGATGGTTGTAGCTCAGGTCCAGCTCTCTCAGATGGGAGGGGTTGGAGCTCAGAGCTGAGGCCAGAGAAGCACAGCCTTCCTCTGTGACCAGACAACCTGACAGCCTGAACACACACAGACATGTTTCCATCACTTCATAGGACAACACACTGACTTACAATCATTTCCTGGAGATGTATCATCACCTGAAACCAGAACTACACCCTGAAATGTACTGACATCTGTTCTGGGGATTCATGTACACACACACA